ACCAACCTCCAAACCACTTGACGGCAGTCGTTACTAAACTAGGTAAGATATGTTCAACAATGATGAAATAAAACCAACCTCCAAACCACTTGACTGCAGTCGTTACTAAACTAAGTAAGATATGTTCAATAATGATGAAATAAAACCAACCTCCAAACCACTTTGTGATAGTCTTCGGTTGGTTATGTCTCGATTTATTTGTTTTATCTTGACTCTATACTACATGTATTGATCAGTACGCGAACTGATATATATCTGGCGTACATGTGTATATATATACGATTACAATCATGTGATTAACTATAACGTAACTAGTTAAACAAAGATGCATTGTCACACAATATCATATAATGTTACACACTTGACGGCAGTCGTTGCTAAACTAGGTAAGATATGTTCAACAATGATGAAATAAAACCAACCGTCAAACCACTTGACGACAGTCGTTGCTAAACTAGGTAAGATATGTTCAACAATGATGAAATAAGACCAACCGTCAAACCACTTGACTGCAGTCGTTACTGAAATAAAACTAAACGTTCTCTATGGATATGATCAGTAAACAAGCACTATCTCTTAATTAATAAGCTGTGTGGACTGTAGTATTGGAGGGAAGGGTAGGTTTCTCTTGAACAAATCAGGTCTGATCAGTTACCGATTATTCTGTCTTATCTGTGTGGACCGACAGGGGGAGGGGTAGGTAACCCTGTCGTTCCTTATCGCAAGCTATTTTCTCTTGAACACAGTAAGCCTGATTAGTCATCGAGTACCATCTCTTATTTGTGTGCTCAGTGGGGTGGAGGGAGGTGATTAGGTACCAGTATTGTTACTGTTCCTCATAGCAAAGATATTTTCTCTTGAACACGGTAAGCCTGATCAGTCATCGAGTACCATCCCTTAGCTGTGTGGTCTGTGGGGTGGTGGGAGGTGATATGGTACCAGATTTGTTACTGTTCCTTATAACAAAACTATTTTCTCTTGAACACAGTAAGCCTGATCAGTCATCGAATACCATCCCTTAGCTGTGTGGTTTGTGATGCTGTGGGAGAGATTGGACGCAACGGTCCTTTACCACTACCAGACGGAGAGCCACCCCCAGAAAAAGGTTTTTGAATATATCTCATTTCTATTTTATTCGTTGCTCGCTAAATGCAAGCAATAGAACCTGACAAAGAGATTTGGATCTGACATTTATTAGATCTCAGAAGTATAAAAAAGTTTGCCTCTCTCAAAATGTTTTACTTGGTTCAACTCAAGCCCCACAATCTTGGGCTCAATGCTCATAGATGCAGCACCTCAGTACACTCTTGGGCTCAACGCTCATAGATGCAGCACCTCAGTNGCTCATAGATGCAGCACCTCAGTACACTCTTGGGCTCAACGCTCATAGATGCAGCACCTCAGTGCAGTCTTGGGCTCAACGCTCATAGATGCAGCACCTCAGTACTTATATGTCAAATAATATATTCATTTATTTTTTTACAGAGGAGGGGAGCCAAATGGAAGTGGATAATGTGCAAAGTTCGCCTGATCCTGGCACCAAGCTACAGGTAGTAACGAAGCTATTGGACCGGCTGTTGAACTCCAAAGAAAACAAGGTCAGTCCGCGCGCGGCACAAAGGCGTCAATTGTTGATTCTGTAATATGTGGGGTGAAAATATTGTAAAATAGAGTAAAGTGGGTAATGGTGGGTAAATTTTGTGATATTTTGAAACACTGGTTTAGAAAGATGAGTTTATTTTTAATTTGACACGTCGATAATAGCAATTTAGATTGCGAAGTTTCGTAGAGATTAAACCTTCAAATAGTGAATATTCCATGGTCGAAAAATTCACATCTTCTACAGGGATTATGTAGTTTTTACGAAAATTCACATATTTGCTAATATGGATATCATGATAAATTTGATTTAGTCCTGTTCATAGCTAGTAGATTCCATATCACAGGCCTGTTCTAGTAGAGAACATGATCAGTTTACTCTTTGTGTCTTTTACAGGTACAGGAAAGATCTGCGCATGCGCTCGGTTACCTCTTGGTTGGAGAACCGCAGTTTGTACATCGACAAAGACTCATTGATGGATTGTGCGAGGCAGGAAAGGTATGTGAAATAACAACCGCGTCGGTCACTATAACATCACTTACAGCAACAGCAGCGTTTCTATCCTCATCACCAACATCACCATTGCCGTCGCTATCACCATCTTTATCGCCATAATCAACAGCATCTTCATCATCATCATCACCATCATCATCGTCATCTTCATCATCATCACCACCATCATCATCATCATCGTCATCTTCATCATCATCATCACCAGCATCATCATCATCATCATCATCGCCACCATCATCATCATCATCATCATCATCATCATCA